ATTGTGTTGGTCTCTGCTCCACTCCTGGACTCGGACCTAAATTTTAGATTTATTCATTTATTTCTTCACATCCATAGACCGCCCTTCCCAGAAGTGGCCTCAGGGCGGGTAACAACATGTCATTTATACAAAACATATTCATTAATGTAATAACATTAAAATTTAAAACATCATCGTAATTATTAAAACGGTCGCAGCTAATGACAAGAAATTTTTCCTCTGGTTGTGGGAGGTTCCTGGCCACAGCTGGTAGTTGCTAATGGAGTAACAAACACCTCAGGGAGGCTATACACAGACCAGTGTTCCCTCTAAGCTGAGTGAGTGTGAGCTAGCTCACAGCTTTTTAGCCCCCAGCTCACACGTTTTTGTCTTAGCTCAGGAAGGAGGGCTGACAGAAAAATATAAACAGTGGTTTCAGGCGGTGTGGTTTAAACAGTGGTTTCAGGCGGTGTGGTTTCCCATGATTAGTTACTTAGAAAATAGTGAGAGAATCCCAAATAACCCATTATATAGAAACTTATTGTTCTTTTAATAGTTCCATATGCAAAAAAAGTTTTTTTTAATGACTGTATATTTTCAAGTATGTGAATTCATGGTAGTTATTTCAATCTTTTAAAGTGGTGTGTCGAAACTGTTTGTGTTTATGCTAGTTGACCACTGTTATGTGACATCTTTCTTTTTGCGACTCTTTCGAGTGCCAAAAGTTGTTGTTAAAATTTTTCGAAAAAATGAATAAAAAGATTTTAAAACATTTTTAAAAGGAAGGAGGGCTCCAGAGCAAACTAATTTATGTGGCAGCCAAATCGCTTGCTCGCAACTTTAATGCCAGTAGCTCACAAAGTAGAATTTTTGCTCACAAGACAACAGAATTGAAGCGGATCCCGCAGGACCTTGATCTCAACGGGGAGCATGTTCATAATGCTTTTCTACTCCGGCACAGCAGGATATCCCAGCGAGGCACTGTGTACTTCTTAACAAGACGGGTAACTTGGTTCAACACGTGAAACTTATCTCCCAGTCCCCTACGGTACGATGTTGGCCTCTTTCTAAACACACAGAGCTGCATAAAGCCGAAAGGGGAAATTCTGTACCAAACTTCTATGTTATAGGATGATGAATATTTACCCATTATTTCCAGGGGCACTTGAACGGCCCCTTGTAGGATCTCTGACCCGCGTCAGGTATAATTTGGAGCATAAATTGAGGTGCCAAAAATACACAAACAAACATAGACAGCTTCAAGAAGGGCAGGGCTATTTTTGGGCAGGAACGCATAGGAACGGAGTTCCGGCTGGCTCCCGAGTTGGCCACGCCCAGCAGGAACTCATTAGCATAATAGGCCACACCCAACAGCAGAAACTCATTCGGATTGGCTATAATTAGGGGTGTGTGGCCTAACATGCAAAAAGCCCACTGGATGGGCCACTGGCCTGATCCAACATGGCTGTTCTTACATTCAAGGACAGCTTCAAGCAACTCTATTAGGTCCGTAGGGGCATTTAGAAAAATATGGCCAATTGAATTATTTATTTATTTACTTCATTTATACCCAAAGAGGCTTGCATCATTATTTACTCTGCCGGGTTATCCTCACAACAACCCTGTGAGGTAGGTCAGGCTGAGAGAGAGAGTGTGTGTGTCACCCAGCAAACCTCCATGCCAGAGTGGGGATCTATAAACCTGGGTCTCCCAGAACCCAATCCAATGCTCTAACCACTTTACCCTACTGGCTCTCTAAGGGCAAGAAAAGAGAGGAGACCACAGCACAGCATAACATTGACGTACATAAGATGGAAAGGGCAATGAGTTAACTACTAACAGTTTTACTAGGGCTGTCCAGATGTCAATTGCAAGGTGGTACTGGTAGCAGAAGGAAGAGGAGGAGGAGACTGGATTTATACCCCGCCCTTCACTACCCAAAGGAGTCTCAGAGCAGCCCACAATCTCCTTTCCCTTCCCCTCCCCACAACAGACACCCTGTGAGGTGGGCAGGGCTGAGAGAGCTCTTGACAGGACTGCCCTTGAGAGAGAACAGCTCTGAAAGAACTTATGACTGACCCAAGATCACACCAGCAGCTGCAAGTGGAGGAGTGGGGAATCAAACCCAGTTCTCCCAGATTAGAGTCTGCACTCTTAACCACTACACCAAACTGGCACTATAGTTCCAATCTGGTGAACCACGGAGGAACCGTGAAGTTAACCATAAAAGCACATTCATTTTACAATGGAAACCTTGCATGGTTGTATTCAGACAACACGAAGAACTCACATCAAACCAACGTGTGCATGAATTCAGACTGCCACTGGTCTCACACACGCAGCTCCCCTCCTCCCTCCTCATGCAGAACACGATGAAAGAACCCGAGTCAGAAACCCAACGTGACAACCCATGCTGTACGAGCGCAGATGTCTTTG